TATAAGCGTGACGTGTCTCCGATATTGGAGGTATGATAATAATCTGTCGGTTTATACCGGGTGGGCCATCAATAGAGGACGCCTGGCTCTATCCCCGGAAACTCAACCCAGAGCCATCGGTTAAAAAATTTCATAACAAATGAGGCCAAGAGAAATTGCTGGAAACTATTTTCAGCTTTCTAAAATCGCCATTAAAAGTCCCGGTACAGATATGTGATCATGTTATTTATTCTTCCCTGATAATCAGCGGGAGTTTCCCGTCTGTTCAAGCGGGACGAGGAAGAGGTGAAGAAAATCTTGCCGAACCTAGTTTCTAATAGTACCCAATTGCTAAAAGAGAATCCGGAATTGGAGGATAACTGTACTACTGCATTACAGGGGTTGTGATGGGATGCCTACCAGATGGATTTTGTGCCTGGATTTTCGCTCTGCGAGCCAGTAGTCGATGAAAAATGTGGGTATCAACAATTTCATACAAATAAGGGGACATCACATCATGAAAAGTCCGCTTCTGAGGTGCTTAATTAGGAATCAGTCTGTTTGACAAGAAATTGAAATTGGTATGTGATAATTACTTCATTCCAATTCAAAAGAAAGAGTGATTAATAGCACTTTATATTGTATCACATCTGTTTGAAAATACATTCAATTTTAATTCCCACGGCACAAAAAAAGTGCAAAGCAACACAAGGCTTTGTTACATCCACAAAGCAACAATCCATCTGTTTGTACAACTAATCCAGAATATTTAAAATACAGATGCACTAGATTTATCCACTTGTTGGCCTTGAATTTCCTTTTCCACATCTAATGACTATAAACTGTGCTTCAAGCTATGCAGGATGCTTATTCTTTATAACAAATACTGAGGATGTAATTTTATTTAATTTCTCGGGTTATTTTTAAAACTGTTTATTTTTAAATGTTTATTTCACAGGTATAGTTAATTAGTATTAGAACCTATACTAACGGTCAAATAGATTACATGCCAAAGTGTTTATATATTGTTTACACTGATTTGGAATTCAAATAGCTGTTCTATTTTGTTTTGTATGAATCAAATAGGTAGTGATTCCCCAGACTACTTGACCCATTCCAAATGCACCTTCATAATATGCAAGGGTGATATCATAGTTAATGAATAAAAATTGTGACATGAACTGCTGATAGTTTGGGAATAATTTCAGCAGAATATCAGACCTTTGGCATCCATGAAAAAGACTCAATATCAGTATCTGAGTAAGTTCTTTACGAATTTGCAACACATTCCTTATTGCTTTCTGACTTGTTAGTTATCTGAGCTAAGGAAATTTTGTCTTAATACACAATTCCTAATAATATTATAAATGAGAATATTTGTTACTCAATCACACCAAAATGGCTAAACAGATCTGGATGAAATTTGGTACAGAGATATATTATAGTACACACCAGCTTTAAATATATATATAACAAATGTCCATTGCCAGAGTAATTACTGCATTACCTGTACTTTGTATATTGCATTTCTTTTTCAGAAACATATCTCTTCACACCAATTAAAAAAATGAATGACCTATACTACTTCCACATGGGCAAAGCTGCTGGTTTAGGCTAGTATAGCATATAAAAAGTATTAGGTTATCATTTTAAGGCCAGGAAACACTTTACACCATCTATACCCTATTTCATGAGTATCCATCATGCTACTGAGGTGAACAGCTGATCAGCAAGTGACATTTTTGTGTTAGTCTGCAACATTGGCAATAATAAATCAGGTATAAATCTGGTGAAACTTGTTTGTGGCCTTCTGTTTTTTGTATGCAAATGAACTTTTCTAAATAAAAGAGCTGTTAACAAGTACAAAATGAATGTGTAGCGTACAAAAAACCAAAACAAAATATGGCTCTGTCTACCTGGCATTGACAGATCCGGTAGAATTATGTGTCCTGTGTCACTATGGGGAATTTTGAAGAGTTACTAGATAACCAGCTGTCATTCTACCATGATGGATACTCATGAAAACTTCTTACACCAATAAGATCCAAACAGATTACCAGGTCTGGGAAACTATCCACATATCTGAAGTGCTGCTACCACAACTAAGATGTCAATACTTGATGGAATCCTGAGGCTATCTAACTAATCAATACTTCCTTCAAAAACAGTATTATGTATTTTTTCTGCAGACTTATCACTGAGCATAGCTGGTTCTTAAGCCAGCTGTCATCTATCAATATTTGCTTCCTAGAGCTCTTCTTCATAATAAGCATGCCGTGTAAATTAAGGCATGAGGTAAACAACAATTGGTATTATTAAATTCAATCATTCATTAAAAGTTATAAAGGACATTTCTGCATGAGCACTATTTAAGACATAAATATAGTAGATCAAACTCTCAAATAATTTTTTTTCATCACTGCATTTCTTGATAATTCATTTGTCAGATACGAAAAGTTATCATTCTTATTAGACAATTCTTTTTTTTTGCATTCTGAACACCATGTAGAGTTTTGCTGCTTATGTAGAAATGCAGTACAACTTTTTTATTTTTCTTTAGCTTTATACTTTTTAAACTTGATAGAATCATACCAGGATTTAAGTTAACTGAAGATTGTGATTTATTCATCTGGTCAAACACAAACATGGAGAAATCATAAGGAAAACCAGGAACAAAATCAATTGGTGTATTCAACACATAATAAGGGGGAAAAGCCCCAATACTTGCTGAATTGGGCACAAGCACAGCAATTTTTATCTGATGCTGGTTGTATAATTAAAAACTCAGAAGCAGTATAGAATATATGCATTCAACATCTAAATGTCCCTTTGTTATTGGAAAAACAAGTGAGGACAATTCTAACAATAAATTAGAATCAGCTTTCTTTCAACACCTTCACATAATTATCACTTGAGTCCAGCAAACATGTAATTACTTATTCATTAGTATTATACATTATATTATGACAATAACCCTATGTTTTTTGATTTTCCTGTCCAAAAGACAACAGGTGCTAAATATTGTGAAACTAAGAGGTCAGCACCTGTTCCTAAAAATAATAGGGTTTTGTTTAATATATTTTGTGATAAATTACTGCATGCTGCTACTTTTTTTATATCAACTGTCGATATAATTGTTGTTACATTCGATCATCAATAATGTAAGAATGCTATCTTGAATAAAATATAAACAAGGGTAATTGTTATTTTTTGTCAATACATTCAATACCAAGCCGGTTTCGCAACAATATTATACATGTATATATATACATGAATAAAAAACGTAAATAAACCATCTCCAGACTTTGCAACTGTTATGGAATAACTGTCAAAGAGCATGCCCATTCAACCATGACACTGCCGGTTTGGCACTTTCGATATTTTTATAGTTCGAATAATAGTTTGAAGTGCCCAAAGGTCGAATTCTTTTGAAAAACCAGCTGATACAACAATCTAAAATATCATGTGTGGCAGGTAGGGGACCGTAGGTGTATTACTTGAACATTCCTATAAGTTAATCATATATCAAAACACTCACCTTTGGCGACGGGCTCTCATATTTTCGGAAGAGCTATTGTATTTTCAGGAATGTCGCGAGAAAATACACACGAAAATGTCTTTTTTAACAATAAACTCTCGTCCAAAGTCGCATAAAGTCAATCAGATGTCACAAATAACCCAACAATAAACGCCATATTTAAAACAGTGTTGCCAGTTACTGATGGTGACACATGACGGTTAGCAAGTGTTGCCAATGGAAATTTTCATATGGCGCATTAAAGGTGACCATCCACTCTCACAATTGTAGGAATGATGCAATGCTGATTAGACCGCAATACCGCATAAAAACTGATAAGGTCTTAATCACATATTTGACACGCTATTTCAAATCCTTGAATGTTTGTCTGTGGGAATAAGTTGTCATACTCCTATACCGTAGTAACAAAACGGAACAGAGCAACAAAAAAAACATCCTACGTTACTGCAGGAGCTGCGTCCCTGAGTTAACAAGGATAATGCCGCGCTTGCCAGTGGCTGGGAGTGTGTTCCACTGCTCTCTTCATTTTCGGTACCAGAGTATATAAACCCAAAAAATAATAATTAGAATGTCAGCAACATTTGGCATATCAGAAATGTATAAAAATGTTTGGATATCAGGGAATTAAACATCAAGTTATGTATATCTATTATATTTTCATTCAGTATTTCATTAAATAAAAATATTTCCATAAATACATCTAATAACAGAGAGAACTAATAAATTATAACAGTACAGACTAAATACTGCATTGACACTCATACAAATAATTTATAAATAAATAATACAACTAAAGATGCCATTTTGAATTAATTTAAATTGGATTTGCACTATTTACTGTTCCGGGTGATAGTAAGCTTTGACTTCATCGATTGCCTTGCACCACTGCAATGCATAGCCTTCCGGGTCCTCTAAATAATATTTCCTATTAGGCTGCAACAAAAAAACAGATTGCATTTATGTATCCTTCTGCATTTTACATTCCACAGACAAGGAAGTATTGTAATCGCAAAAATTGGAAAATGGGATACGTTTTTTGGATGATAGGGTAATTCACAAGTCGAGACCAAAAATGAAACATCATACACAGGACGGTATTTCTATGTAACATGTTTCCCTCAAGGGCTTTATAAAAAAGTATGGGGTGTTGAAGTATAATATCTTCAAAACCGTCAACTGGAATGAACTAAAATTTGGTATGTAGATTTACCTAACTATTTTCCATATTCAAAAGATTTAACCTAAAATTAGCATGCACCAGTGGCAGAGATACGCATTTGGAAAACAGTGGCGTACTATTTTTATTCGCAAAATAATGCCACTAATCCCCGCCACTGGTGCACGTTAATTTTTAGTAGACCTTTGAATGTAGACAATACAATACAGTTGAGGGTTTTGAGGATATTAAAAAAAATGTTTTTCATTTTTAAACTTCAACACCTCGTATCTTTTTATTGAAGCCCCCGAGAAAATAATGTTACATAGAAGACACCCCCTTAAAATGCGGTCCTGTGTATGATGTTTCATTTTTGGTCGCCACTTGTAAATCACCCTATATATGTATATAAAAAACCACGTCCTTCATTTCCTTTGGTCTGCCTGTCTGGTAATATGTGGGTCTATAACTTGAAAAGTAAAAATTTAGATGAAATTTTCACAATGGCGGCGGGGCTATACGCAAAAAAAACAAATATTTAAAAATCGCTCGTTTTTTGACATTCAAGAGACTCCTGACAATTTTGTAAAATTCTTTGATACACGATGTACATACAAAATCTTTTCGCCCAGAATTACGTAGGAAGTTCAGAGTTAACCTACTTGAAACCATTTTTTGCCCAAAGTTTGACAACACGGCAAAAGATTGTACCACAAATATTTCAATTCGACTTAAACGGTATATTTTTCAGAGCAATTCTGACACATTTCAACCAAAAAATAGCTGTTGTTATCATGAAGACGTACTTTTTTTAAGCACAACGTATCTTGTTAAGTATGATTGAACCCCTAGACACCTTCATGGCTACGTGAGTAGCTCAATGCGGCAACAATTATAGTACGTCAAAAAGTCTTTCAACTGGGACCTCTACTAAAATTACTTATTCATAGAGTAGTGGAATTAAGATCGAAACTTATTACAAGAAATATTATTTTACTTACTGTGTGGATAAAGAATGTCTTGAAATTCTTCGCCTCACTTCTCAAATCTTCACTCCAAGGAATTTCGCCCTTTAGTACCATGGCCACAGGATCCACATAGTATAAATGAGGACCGAAAGTGAGCAAAAACATTCTTCTTCTAGCAAACAGCCCTTTCTTTTTGTCTATCAACCCTTGCTTCAGTATCAAGTTGCCTTCAACAAAACTAAAAGAACCAAAAAGAAATATTCATGAATAATAATTTTATTAATCTAGTATAAGAGCTTTAGAGAAATAATAATAAAATTATGTATCGATCTTTTGGTATAACTTCTCGCGTGGTTTAAGCATAGACCAGTGCTTAGAAGAATGTATTGCAAAACTTTTATAGTACCCTTTGTAGGAATATTCCAAAAAATCTAGAACAAACCGGCAACATTGTCTATTAATTGTATTTGTGGCATTGCTATATTTTGTACCGGTGATCAACAAAATGGTATCAATTATGCTGACTCTACACTTCCCACGCAACGTCGTTATCGGTTCATAAAGGATTATGTTCAGCACAAACTTGACCCTCTGAGAAAAAACTAAGTCACTCAGGTCCATACAATTAGTCCATGGAATTCTTTCCCTGTCCTACCGGTAGTCCATCTGGCAACGACGCCTTTTCCCGATGTCTAACCAGGTCAGACGTTGCACCGGGGCCATTGCATAGGTAACACTATGCTATGGCGCGGCAGTAATAGCAGAACACGCCGCCGGGAGCAGAAGTAGACCCGGCGGTTAGGTACGCGATTCGTCTTATGATAGTATTTATAAAGGCTAATGTAGGGGAAACTGGATGATGTGTCAAATAGGTCTAATAGGTGCATAGAATTACCAAGGTTGGAAGCGTATAAGTATACGAGTACTAATATCAAAAAGTTAAGATATACCTTCCCCACCCTCCAACGAACCCCCATCCCCAAATTCTTTTACAAACGATCAACAAACCAAGTTTGTGCGATTTTTATTTTATATTTTTTTCGTTTTTCGACTTTTTCTTCGCCGCCACTGTACCGATTTTCAAAAACTAAAGCTGAAAGCTTTTTGTTCTTGGTATAGTAGTGACGTTATGTAAAAATTTCGTCAAAATCCGAGCAGTACTTCTCAAGTTAGACGGTTATAGGATCAGCGGACAGGCATACCGCCAGACAGACGGAAATGGTTTCTCGTAATGTACATGTCATATAACATCCAAAAAACATACCCGATTAGAATAGTTTCCAACTAGTAGGCATGGGGAGTATAAAACACATTGAGATCACACCCATGACAAATGAGTTGTCACACTAACAAGCATAGTTATAAAACACTCATATCTAACGAGAAAATTTTCTAGGCCGCGAGACGAGACTAAAACACACATGTCTGTGAGCTCATGGAGAGATATAATGCATATGTATGTGTGAGGGAGATGAAGGTATGAAAGTAACACTAGTAGTTTTACTGCTACCCACTAAAGTCTGGGAAGAATTCGATATACACAAAGTTTACACAATGAAAAACCTATATAATAAAATCGAGTCCCTTGTATTCAAATCTATAATAATTATATCATATTCAAATCTGAAGTCAACTTTGTGAGTCTAAAATAATCATCAATGATATGTTTAGTTGCGACAACCGACCATAAATAGATATATCGTCGGTGGTTGCGACACACTGTCAATTAATAGGAAAAATGAATCACCTATTATAAGGATTGCTCTTCTGAGCCTCAAGTTTTTGTTCGATTTCGGCCGCCGTAAGATCAGTTATTTTCTTGACTACTTGAGATTTTTTCCTAGTAGGCGTAGGCTCCAAATCTAATTGCAATCGTGATGCTTTTTCTTTATCTAAACCAGGTTCTACATCATCAGGTATCACAATGTCTTTTATACTATCACAAATGTCAGAGATCCTCGGCGGTGGTCCTAAGTCGTCGCAGTTCAAGTCTCTGAATAGCTCATGTTGTCTGAAATATATAATGATATATGTATAGTCTAGCTACCTTGGATCGACTCCATAAAGACTAGATTAGCGATCTTTTTGACTATTCAGATGAACTCATACCGAAGTGTCACCAAGAATTGAACTATCAAAAGTATGGTATTTTGCCTCTTAAATGTGGCCCGTACGACTTTTTTTATGAATGGAGAATTTAATTTTGCATAGAATACCAAAATATTGGCTTTCAAACAATGTATTCCGATTGTTTTCACTTTTCCTATGAACAAGAAGTGACAAAACTTGCTCTCTAAAGTTCAATCGTATTTCGCGGCAAAGCTCTAAAGCAGTGAATCCCAAAGTGTGGTCCCAGTGGACTCCAAGGATCCACGGAAGACTCAACGGGGATATACGCTGGCGAGAAAAAAAATTAAGGTTCCTAAGTTTTTCCCAAGTGGTTCACGGAAATTGATCTTGTTTGGACAGTAAAGAAGAATAATTTCAGATAATATTTTAAGAAGGCCAGCGACTGTCCTCGCAAAAACTTATTATACTATATTATAATTATTATTAATTTTAGTATTATTATTATTATTATTATTATTATTATTATTATTCGTTTTTGGTTGGTCTTTCACCGTTACACACGGGGTATGTACACAACAGGGGAGGAATTCACCTCAGCCTATTGCGAAGAACTTGCGAACTATGTGAAATGTTTGCAAGATTGCGGCTTTCTGCATCAATGCAATAAAATGCGCTGGAACTTTGATTTTCTCTAAGTGAGAGTGGAGATTTACAGAGACTGCCCCTTCCACAGACACTACTACTGGTATTATGCAGACCTCTGATAGTTTCCAAATGTTTTTGATTTCAATGGCAAGGTTTTGGTACTTTTCAGCCTTGGTGTATTCGGTTCTGATTATGTTTACTGTGAGTGGAACTGCGATATCAATTATGTATGCTTTCCGTTTATTTTTATCGATCAGTAGTATGTCTGGCCGGTTATGGTCAACTGTTTTATCGGTTATGACTGGCCTGTCCCAGTACAATAGGGCCGACTGATTCTCGAGTACTGGGAATGGTGTATATTTATAATATAGCGCGGTTGACTGATGATTATTATTATTATTATCATTATTATTATTACCATAATTATCATTATAGCTATTTTATTATGTAGAATAGCCGTGTTTTGCCGTAAGTAGGGTGAAAACGTTGTTTTTGGCGAGATAAGCAATATTCTTAACCGAAAAATCAAATTAAACCCATTTTCAGCATATTTAAGGTATACGTATATAAAGTATATATTACGAGTATTAATATTTTAATTACTATTATTACTATTATAATTATTATTACTATCATTATTTTTGTCATAATTATCAATAAGCAGTTTTATTGTGTAGAATAGTCGTATTTTGCCGTAAATAAGCCGAAAACGCAGTTTTCGCCGAGATAAGCAGTATTTTCCACCAATCAATCAAAATAAATCCATTTTCAGCATTTTAAGGTATATAAAGTATATACTATGATGATTATTATTAATATTATTATTATTAGTATCATATTTATTAAAATTATTATTATATTTATTATTATTGTTATTAGTATCATTATTATTACCATAATGTCTTGATAGCATATAATCAAAATTTAAATATCCAAATCATATTCTTCAACAACAGAATTAAGTGATATTGTGACGAATTACAAAATTGAAGCCAAATATGTGGTCCACCAAAACTAGTAAAATTTTTAAAGTGGTCTATGAGAAAGTTTGGAAACAACTGCTCTAAAGTAATAAGTTGATCCACGCCTAGGCCCCTTTCGAGGTGGTTCAAGTATGAAAAACTGGCCATACTTGTACAATTCTACTTTCGTCAAAAGTGAGGAAAATTATCTTTATCATCTGCTTTTACATTTTGACTCGTTATATCAGTATCCGTAAATCGTATTGGCTGATTCCTTCAGCGAAAATACCCAGGGCTTGAGTTGACTTTTTTTGATGTGCAAAATTTAAGCACATTTTTGTCAACAAACGTGCGAAAAATATATTATAATTGTGAGATATCCGTCTAGCGGCGATGTTGAAATCTTGAAAAAAACACTTGGATGAAGCAGCACATTTATAGCATGTAAAGGCATGAGTAAGTTCCGAAGTAGTGGCAGCTAGTTTCAATACACAGTGTCTATGCTTGTAGTCACCATTCTTGGTGGGTCAAAGTAAGATTACCAGTATCCCTTTATATATCTCTATATCCCTCATACATACACATGCAACCTACCCCTGTGTGTTAACCTGTTATCAATCTTCGATATAAAATTGTACAATGCCCAGAAATACGACCAATGGAGAATTCCGACAACTCGTGCTAAATTTATTAGAGTATTTCCAGGAATAGAATGGAAACAGCCTATTATCCACTTCATGCGTACTGGAGAGAGTAGCAGATGCGCTGAAGATTAGTCTGCGCAGACTTATTTCATATGGCGTTGATGACGTAACCGCCAAGAACGGTGACTACAACTATAGAAACATGCGCATATTTTGCCTTTCACAACAACATGAAAAAAACTTACCGTATACTTGTATAAGGCGCCTCATCAGTAGCACCTAACCTCTCAATAGGATTTTTGACAAGCAGCTTCTGTACCAAATCCTTAGCTTGCGGGTCAAATCCATCAGGATATTCATACTCCAAGTTAAGTATCTTCTGGAATATCAGAAACTCACTTCGTCCCCTAAAAGGCATCACTCCCGAAACCATCTGGTATATGATGCACCCCAGCGCCCAAAGGTCAGACGCGGGAGATGACGAGGATTCGCTCAGCATCTCGGGGCTTACAAACTGTGCAGTACCTTTAAGTATGAAGAATATTAGATGAAATTATTTGGCTTAGTCAAACACAAATATGAGAATTTAACGAAGAACCGACGGGGTGCAATTTTAGTAAGAACGAATATATCTTCCTTGACAAAAAAGAGAAATTCTTCCGCTGAGGTCCTTTACACATAATCTAATTAGAGCTCGTCCACTGGAGCGGTACGAAGCAAAGGGTTGGTAATTCTTATTGCTTCGATTTTGAGTTGATTGTTTCTTGAGATGCGTTATGCGATGTTTGCTCCATAGCAAACAAAATCACCAAATTTTTGACGCGCCTTGAGGCGCGAATTTCCTCCAGTGACTGAGTTGGCTTGGACGGTTCGTTTTTTGAGAACCAAATCCATTTTTCTATACCTGTTTTTTGTCAAACGTTTAAGACCAAAATATAGGTCGATATGCGCTACAATCGATCAAAACTAGGAATCTATGCACTCCCTTTACGCAGAAAACAATTTTCGTCCAATCAGGGTTACCCAACGAATACGAATAGAAAAAGAGCCAAGCCTACATGTTTACATTGCATTGTTTGTAACCAAAATTATGTAGTTATTGTGCATACTTTTTGCTAATTTGCCTACCATTGCCTGCCAAAGGTACAAGCTAATACATCGGCGTACATTATTTTCTCTGGATAGTATATTCAAGTAGCTACTCGTACTGGGTGAACTCACGTTATCATTAATAAACAGGGATAAACTAAATAAGGGAAAGAAACGAAACGTACAGCATATGAACAATTCTTCTTAATTCCTGATTTTGGGAGGTGATGAAACATTCTATCAAGGAGCAACAATGGAGGAAATGCCGATTTACTCGATTTTTCTGAATAGTTGTGGTGATTCGAGCTAGTTGAGCATAATTATCACTATTTATCCAATAAAAACATTTGCAAGTAGTTTAATTGATTTGACATTCATTCGTTTTTTGGGCGTACTCAATAGGTTTGGTTTATCTCAAATATCTTGCATTTTTCAATGTTGTTGTTGTTAGGTATACAATTCTGTTAACAGAACTTAGATTGAGACTTCTTATTCATATTCTTAGTTGTCCTCACAAGTACACTTGAGAGTACCTCAATGAAGTCACCCTAAAGTTTCCTACTCGAAATTGGTATGATCTAACAAAGTGAAATCAAATTCCTGTTAATTTATTTGGCGGTTGTTATACAGATCAATGACTGAAGAAAAAATACTATTACACAGACCTGTCACTAAATCCTTATTTTCTAGGGACCCTGTATTCTATTAAAGCGATTATGATGAAAGAATGGGAAGCATATGTAGCATCTTGGTTTTTAATTAAGTGGGAAGTGTATGTAGTGGGGGATATCAATCCACAAGTCAGGTAATCTGTACGATCTGCCAATAACGCGGGCACCCTTTTTCCGCATCATCTCACTTTAAACACTATGATCTACAATTGTATTTTGTGAGAAAACAGAAAATACTTACCTACAAAACTAGTTCGTCTTCTTTTGTCCCCTTTATCTAATGCATCATTATCACATTTCTGGTTCTCTGTATTATCCGTTTTCAATATCTTGGCACTTCCAAAGTCAGTTATCAAGATATGCCAGTTTTCATCAAACAAAACATTTTCTGGTTTCAAATCTCTAAAAAATGCAACTATTCGTAGTGATTTATGTTCCTCAAGAAACATTGTTATTCCCAATAGGGACTTTCAGAATATCAGAGACATTAGTACTTGGTAGCAAACGGACGTGTTTTTAGTTGCTATTAGTTTTTTCTTTTTATTAATTGGTATAATTGTGGATCTAGTGAATAATCTAGTAGTATCGGGGCAGTGGAAGTGGGAAGGTGTGCATATATACTAAGTGACATATAAATCCGAACACCTAGTTTAAATGGTTTTATTTTAATAAAATTTTGTATAAGTACTTAATGAAGCATAATAAGTAAATGATAAAAATTTCAAAATGATTGCACTGCTTTAAAGCCCTTTGACCTTAAATAATGTGTGGATGCACCCTGATGTGCTACGCATCCTCCAACGCGCCTATGCATGCTTCTGATCAGGTGGTCAATGTCCTTCTGTGGTATCTCATTCCAGGCAACCACCAACTCCTCTCGAAGTGCTTCTAGAGTCTGAGGAGGACGTTGCAAATTGAGCAATCTCCTACCCATCATATCCCACACGTGCTCAATTGGGGATAAGTCGGGAGATCTTGGTGGCCATGGTAACAATGTGACATCATTATGTTGAAAGAAGTCTATTGTAACTCTTGCAACATGTGGTCGGGCATTATCTTGTTGGAAAGTTGGATCTGCCAGGGTGTCAAGATAGGGTAAAAGATGGGGTTCTAGAACTTCGTGGATATAACGCTGCGCGTTCATGTTACCTCTGATGAAGATTAAAGGTGACCTGGAACCATAAGCTATAGCACCCCAAACCATAACTCCAACAGTGTGATGAACATGTCTTTCAACAGAAAACTGCGGATTCCTCCTTTCACCACGTCGCCTTCTAACCCTGGCACGACCATCGTGCATGCCTAAACAAAATCGAGACTCGTCACTAAAGACAATACTGTTCCATTCCTGATCCAAGAGTGACCGTTGTCTGCACCACTCAAGGCGATTACGTCGGTGTTCTCGAGTTAAAGGGAGGACCCAGTGAGGCCGGTATGAAAACAAGCCAAAACTTCTCATTCGTCGGTAAACACTTCGCATGCCAATAGGTCTTCCGTGTTCTGCAAACCATTCATTTGCAATGGACCTGGTTGTGGAGAAACGGTCCCTTAAGGCCAATAATCTTAGGCGGCGATCTTCACGGTCTGTTGTTCTACGGCGGCGTCCAGTGCCCCTTGCTCTTTGCGTACGGCCTTCTCGAAGCCATGCCTGACAACACCTAACCACAGTGTCTACACTTCTTTGCACTCTAACTGCAATTGCCCGAAAAGAAGGTCCAGCTTCTCGAAGTCCCACTATACGGCCCCTATCAAACTCACTAAGTTGACGAAATCGTACAGGTCTCCGTACTCTAGGCATCGTAATCGATCGTAAAGGATGTCAAGAACCAAAATCCGCCAACGTTGATTCTTTACTGCGGGTGAAATATTCATTTTTAGAGCGTTAGTGAATTAAAAAAAAGCAGTATAAAAACCGGAATGTCCAACTGATAAGGCTGAAAATTTTTTCACTTGTTATTTACAGTAAGATAAATACATTCACCAACTTTTATTAAAATAAAACCATTTAAACTGGGTGTTCGGATTTATATGTCACTTAGTATATTTCCATCTGATAAAATAATGGAATTTGATATTGAAGAGAGGATGATGGAAAGGAGTAGAACCAGTTCCCTCGGTAGACTTGCACTAGAAAAAGATGAAATAAATAAAATTATCCTTGGCTGCGAATTGGAGCAGAGCAAAAAACAGGCCGAGATAAGAGATGGAGCAGAAAACTGTGTGAACGACGAATACACTGGCCAGTATGGAAGAAATAAACAGGGTGTCACTCTTAAACCTATGGATCACAAAAATGATGAGTCTGAGGATGCTGACGTATTTAAGCCTAAATCGTCAATTTTTCGCACTCCTAAATGGAGCCGAGAGCCGGAACAGAATCGAGCGGAAATGATGATACTAGTTAGGGAAATGGAAAACATTGGTAAACGGCAATGCTATCAATATCAGAGTATTATGAATGAGGAACTAATACAGAACTTTTTTGAGGAAATTGACAGTATAAACAAAGTTGTTGATAAAGATCTGACAAAAAACCCATTTAGCATGCAAGATAAGACATCTGTTATGTATGCAAGCATAAATCTACATAAATCATTGACTCGAGTAGTGTATAAAGTCAGTCAGCTTGAAAAAGAAAATTTAGCATTAACAGCTAAAGTAGAAGAGACAAAACTAAGACACTATGAACTGTCTGGTGGAGCAACGGTAAGCTCAACTGAGATTCAGGTAACCAAGCAACAGTAAGGACACAAGTACCAGAACTAAGAAGTTATGTAAGCATTGCAAGGGCGAACTCGGCAAGTCTCTCTGAAGAACCAAAGAAAAAAATAAACGAACTATGGGAAACTCCACCAGAAAACAGGAAGCACGAAACGATTATAAGAATGGAGGAAACAGAAAATCCGAAAATAGTGGTACATAGACTCAAACAAGAATTAATGCTGAAGGACACTGATGGAGGCTTTAAAAGTATTACACAGTTACAATCTGGGGCAGTTGTTGTGGAAAGCTATAATAAAACTCAACAACAAAAGCTAAAAAAATATATTAAGAGATAAAAAAGATATAAAAATTAGAGAAAATGAAAAATGAATCCAATGTTCATAATCACTGGCATTGAAAAAGGTTACGAAGCTAAAGACTTCATACAAGAACTTATAAGACTGAACATTGAATTGTACAGTGGCAGAAAAAGTAAAGATCATCACAAAAAGGAATTGTCGTAATCTCGTAATCCAGCCAAAGAAAACTGGATACTTCAAGCACCACCCGATATCGCAAATGTTCCGGCAGTCGTGAAGCTGCAAATTGTCAAATAGTAAACTTTCAATGTGCGAATAGCCAAAAAATGAAGTATTATGATCATAATCATTATGCTCGTGATCCAAACTGCCCTGTTTATAAATCAAGAGTTATCAGGTTTAGGAACAGTATCAACTATGCCCCGGATTTTCAATAATAAATGTATCAATTGATACAGTAAGATCTGAAAGCTGCTCCAAAGATAAGACTACCAAACAGAAGGAGAACCTCGCCAAAATAGCCCTACTCCATCAAAATGTTCAGTCTCTTGGAAACTCATTAAACGAGATAAACCAGATGTTGATGGACCACGACGACTTTAAATTTATTTGCATAACAGAGCACTGGAAGAGACAAGACCAGATCATCAACTATGGAACTAGAGACTTCAAACTTGCATCTTGTTTTTTGCAGGAAAGAAGGGAAACATGGTGGAAGTTTTATGAGCCTAGCAGTTCAGTGTTTAGAAAGGTCAGATATAAGGTCATTATCAGTGGTTGGTTCCTTTGAATGCGCGGATGTGAAATGCTCTCTGAATGGTATGAATTTTATAATATTGTCAATATACAGGTAATATGCATGTATTTTTAGAAAAATGGAACAAATTCTCTCAAAAATCCGTGATGATAGTGCCTCAATTTTCATAGCTGGCGATTGCAATATAGATTTTTCATACGACAGCCCTAACAAACAGCTATTATGTTCACTCCTGAACTCAAATGTAATTAATTCATCAATCTCAGACCACACTGCTCAAAAAATAACGGTAACATGAATAAACCTGCTAATCCAGTGAAGAAAAGGATATTCATTGTAGAAAATAAAGAAAGATTTTTATGTAGACTCAATCTGTAGACTGGCAAAATGTGTTTCATATACCTCGGAACGATGTAAATGAACAGTGGAATTATTTCAGCAATATTTTCCAATCTAATTTTGAACAGGTCTTTCCTATGAAAACATTTAGAATAGGTTCACTGACTCGCATCATCCTGAGAGTATAAAGACTAATATTAAGGAATTGATGTTCTATATGTGATTAGCAACAGTGACAACTCTTATAAGCGATGCTATAATAAATTTATATTAGAGTACAATCAATTATTAGCGGATGCCAGATATAAGTCATATCAAAGACGCATAGAGTCGGACAATAAGTCAAAACGTGTTTGGGGTATTGTGAAGGAAATAAAAGGTCAAACTAGAAATGATTGTGTCATACCAGGTGATGCTGAAATTACTACACATGCGCTCAATGAATATTGTATAAATGAAGTCGCTAAATTATTACCACAAACACCTTCTGACTTTTTACGCCATGCGGAACAGTGTACGCCGCTAGAACATGTCAGTGCTCAAGAAATATTGGAGCTGGGGGATAAAATTAAAAACAAAATGAGTAGTGGCAAAGATGGTATTCCAGCTAATATTCTGAACTATTCTTTGAAAGTGATTCTTGAACCCCTAGTTTACATAATAAATAATTCACTTATGTATGGTATTTTTCCTGAAAATCTGGAATTAGCCATAATCTTTCCGGTATATAAGGAACCCTAATGACTTGGGAAACTATAGACCAATAAGCCTACGTTCTTACTTTGCAAAGCTTTTCGAACTGGTGATGTATTCACGAATTATGTATCACGTGCTCTGTAATAACTTAATTGCTGAACCACATCATCGCTTTATAAAGGGAAATCGATAATACGGCTATATACTCCTTCAGCCACAGTATTGTAGAATGTCTGGAAAAAATATGGGATCACTGGGTTTGTTTTTGATCTCTCCAAAGCATCTGGTTGTGTAGAACATTCTCTCTTACTGAGTAAACTTGAGGCATTTGGGATAAGGAGAAGTGCCCGGAACTGGGTCAGGTCTTATTTAACAGACCGCCAACAAAGTGTTTCCATCATAAAGAAGGCATGACAGCTGTCTCATCGCCGTTAACAGTAGATAGAGGTATCCCACAAGGAAGCGTCTTGGGTCCTCTACTCTTTGTGATGTTTGTAAAGGATCTGAGTGATAGTATAGCAAACCCGAATAATGTATGCACTATTCAATATGCAGATGATACTAGTGTGATTATAGCTGGCCAAGATTTCAACCAAGTAGCCAAAACATTGAGCATATGCGAGAAAGCATTTTGGTGGTTTGCTCGCAACGGTCTATCCTTGAACACATCAAAAACAAATGCAATAGTTCAAATTAAAGAAAAAAAATCGAAGCTAAGAAGATCCACTTAGCTGATAGGGTAGAAGTCAAGCTGACAGACTCTGGTAGATTCTTAGGAGTGTACATATTGACCAAGGACTTTCCTGGGCTACAAATGTACGAGCCCCTTCCCACTTCAGTTGGCCCAACTATTGAAATCTTAGTTTTTTCTTATCAAACACAAATATAAAAATGTAGCAGGGTGTTATACGTTTAAAATATTAACAATGAATATTTTGATAATACAGTAGAAAACACCAACTGTATCACTCCCTAATCAATTTGCAGCATAACACATGTTGCAATTACAGCATATCAACCTATTTTCATTCGATGCAAAATAAGTCTATCACGCATAGGTGCTGTGAAAAATAAAAGCCATGACAATTGTTTTTAGTAATCACAGCTGTCAGAATACGCTTTAAAATAGTTTTGGGTAGTTAAGGTTTTCAAAATGGGAAGAGGAAAGGTTATTAGTGAGAAAATTCGGTTACTGATAATTACATTTTTTAATTCTGGGAATCAAACTCAGAAATTGCAACTTTGTTAACTTATACGGTACAGTGTGAGAAATATTGTTAGAAGATATAACGTAACTGGTTCAGTTAATATTAAGCCACAATATGTGAAAAAAGTAATATCACAAATGCCGACCGAAGAGCATTAAGAAGAATAATCGTGAAAAACAGGCGTGCCAATTATTTACAATTAAGTGCTCTGTGGACGCTGTTGGAAGGAGAATTTTGAAGTCCACAACTCATAGAGAGGCCCACAAACTGGGATTTAGCACTTGCAAGGTAAGTTTTCTTATAAAAAAAGTGAAGTAAAAACCCTAAAGTTGCACAACTTGTTTATAGGCCAAAGAAAAGCCACAATTAACTCCACTGCAAAAGAAAAATCGGCTTAGATGGGCTAAAGAACATACACAATGGACACCTCAACAATGGTGTGCAATACAATGGAGTGATGAGGCCCGATTCGAATGTTATGTTGGTGGCAGTCGCAGTAGTTATTCGCAAAAAAAATGAAGCATTCCATGTTGACTGTCTGAAGAGAAAGTGAAATGTCCAGCATCCATTATGGTCTGGGGCAGTATGTCATCAAAATGAGTAGGAAACATTTTATTGATGGAAATGTGGATACAAACAAATATTGGCAATTTTAGAAGATCGCTTTTACTAGTGATGGAAGAATGTTTGACATCTGGCCAAGATTTTGTGTTTCAGCAAGATGGTGCAGCGTGCCATACCTCAAAAAAGGCTATAAAATGGATGGAAGAAAATATGTACCACTTTTGAAATGGATTTCTAGCAGTCCAGATCTCTCCTATTGAAACTTTGTGGCACGAGATG